AGCGTACAGGAATGTTTCTTCATAAAAGTTCATATCTCAACACTAACAAGACCCTTTCTGTCAAGAATGAAAGTGTTGGTTCATTGATGTGGGTTGGGGTACACATAGCAAACCCTAACATTTGTACCCCCTAAAACAAGCCTCACTACAGGCTACAACATTTGACACACCCCCATAGCCTAAGTGAGGGGTGTCAAGCAAAACCAAAAGTGTACGATCACAATACCAGTCACAAAGAAACAAAGCTCAGGGTGGATCACAACGTCACCACACACTCCGAGCACAAGCAACAGGGGCCACAAGGCCAGTCCAATAGTTCACAAAGGTGTACGGCAAGTGTACAAGCAAAGCAAACAGTAAACTCAAGCCTACGCAAGACGAGAACCAGTGTCAACAAGACCTAACTTCACACAACACTTCTGGTGGTCACAAGGCGAAAGTGCCTTGGTGAAGATGTCTGCAGTGTTGGCCTCGGACTCCACAAACTTGAAGCGAGCCTGTCCACGTCTCTGCAACTCTCGCAGAAGAAAGTATCTGACGTCAATGTGCTTCACTCTGCTCTCCAGTCGCGGCTCTCGACACAAGAGAATCGACGCCTTGTTGTCAGTGAACAAGGTCGGTGCATAGCTCGGCCGCTCACCAAGGTCGGCGAGCAAGAAGGTCAACCAACGCAGCTCCTGTGCCGCCATAGCACCAGCGTAGATCTCAGCCTCAACGGTAGAGGTCGAGACCGAGGAGGAACGCGTGGACCTCCACGAAACAGGTCCAGAACCCAGACTGAAGCAGTACCCCTGAGTAGACCTGTGAGTCTCAGAGTCGTCAGCGTAAGAAGAGTCACAGTGACCAGTAAGTACGACAGACTGCTGCCCTCCAAGAACCAGCCCCACGCCTGATGTCATCGCTAGGTACTTCGCCACCCTCACAACTGCCGTCCAGTGAACAGGACGGTGTCTCCCTGGCGCAACAAAGCGAGCAAGGAAATTGAGAGGGAAGGCGAGGTCCGGGCGAGTTCAAGTCATCAGGTACATGAGGCAGCCCACCAGGTCTGCGTAGGGACCACTAGGCTCAAACGGCTCGTCAGGAAAGGGTCCAGTAAGTCTGTGGTCAACAGCAAGAGGTGTGCGCTGTACTGTGGAGTGCTGAAGCCCGAACCGCTGAAGGACCTGCTGCACCATGTGTGACTGTGAGAGTGTAATGGTGCGAGCAGCTCTGTCCCTGGTGATCTGCAGGCCAAGGTAGTGGCGCAGCTCACCTAGGTCAGTGCACGTGTGTCTCTTCTACAGTTCGGACTTCATGTCTGCCAAGGCAACCCCATCAACAGTAGCAAAAACCAGGTCATCGACGTAGACAAGAACAAAGAACATTGTGGAGCCACGACGAACGAACAGCGACGGGTCGGCAGAAGACGGCTGGAAACCAAGGCCAGACAGGGTAGAACGAAGAGTGTCGTGGCACTCACGAGGAGCCTGACGGAGACCGTAGACCGGCCGCCTCAGCCTCCAATGGGTCCCAGGAGGGAAAGTGCCAGTGAATACAGAGGGACGACACAGCCAGACCTCCTCGTGTAAGCTACCCTGAAGGAAAGCAGTGGAGAAGTCGAGGGAGTGTAACACGTAGTCTCTCTGTGCTGCTACGTGTAATAACACCCAAAGAGTGGTCATCTTCGGGGTAGGCACTAAGGTCTGAAAGAAGTCAATCCCCTCGCACTGACTGAAACCTCTAGCCGCGTAACGCGCCTTGAAGACCGGAGGAGATCCCGGTGGCCGCTTCACCCTGTAGATCCACATGCCATCGACTACGTTCGCCCCAGGGGGGTGAACTTCGTCGACGTAGGTGCCTGTGGATCTGTAGGAGGCCATCTCTGCGTCCATGGCAGCTCTCCACTGAGAGGCCCAAGGCCCTGACACTGCCTCGGCGTAAGTGCGAGGAGTCGGTATGTCAAGGGCATCGGGGTCTCTCTCAGGGGTGAGCAGCATGGCACAGAGATGAGGGGAAGCGGCTGCCAGGAACTCTAGCTCAAACTGCCTGTCCTCTAGGGCGTCACAGCCAAGGGCAGACTCACCCCCGACGGCCAGAGGACTGGTAGGAGGAGCAGCCACAAGACCGGTGGTGTAGTCAAGGCGGCGAGTAGAGGCAAACCGAGTGACTGCGGCAGTAAGAGCGGAGACAGAGGACAGAGAGCCACGAGGGTGGGTAACAAGAGAGTCGAGAACACGAGAGAGAACAGGACGGTACGTGCGGTAGTAGTCAGTAACAGGAGTACAGAGGGAAGCAGTGAGGGCCGACTCAGGGGGAGAAGGAAGCACAGACTGAGACGAACGAGGCGGACTAGGACGGCAGTACGAAGGTCAGTGAGAGCGACAGGGGACGAGGGACGAGCACGAGGAGAGCAACGAGAGGGCCAGGCGTCCAAAGGAGGAGGAGACAACGGAGTCGGAGAACGAGGGAGAACAGCTGGGGAGGAGTTAGGAGGAGGAAACGTGGGACCGTAGACAGGAGGAGAGGGGGAGGAGGAAGGAGAGGGAGAGGGGAGACCGAGGGTCCGAAGACCAGAGACAGGAGGAGGAGGTGGCGGCTGCTGCTGCTCCTGCTGCGGCTGTTACCTCTGCTCCTCTAGCGGGGCTGCTCCAGGTGCGACTGCTGCTGCTCCCGGCTGCTGCTGCTGCTGCTGCTCCTCCTCCAGCCGCTGCAACTCTCGCTCCTCTCTCTCTAACTCCAGCTGCTCCTCACGGGCACGGCGAACACGAGCCTGGTGCCGAGTCGGGTAGGGGTTGGGGGGGAGGAGTAGTGGCCAGGTCCGTGACAGCCCCAGGACCGGCCTCCACAGCACCAAGCGCACCACCCCCAGAGTCAGCACCAGCAACAGCAACACGGGCAGGCTCACCAAAAACCACTGGGGGCGCACCCGCACCCCCAGACGTAGCACCCCCAGAGTCAGCTCAGCACCAGCTCTCGGAAGAGTAGAGTTTCCTGCAGCCACGGGCTCAAATCCAACTCCAGCACCCCAAGAACCATGAGTCGGCACAGGTACGCTCTCTGCTCCAACTCTAACGCCTCCAGAGCTAGCACTGGCAGGGTCCTCTCCACGAACACCGGCTCCCGTAGGGTCTGCAGTAGGCTGCGAAGAGGACTGCGGGGAAGGAGGCTGCATCTGAGGGGCTACCGAAGGGGGAGGGGTAGCGACATACCTGACGGAGCTGGACCAGGGGGGGGAGGCTGTACCGAGGTAGCAAGAGGGGGAGCGTGTAAAATTCCACTACTATAGCAGCTTGATAGAGCTTAAAAGCACGATTCCAACGCACCAAAGATTGCATGAAAATTGTCCACTATAGCCAGAGTTACACACAAACATAGCAGTGATAATGACTTGGTTAATTTCTGGTTTGTGCTCTCTGGTTTTATACTAGGACGCAATACAAAATAAAAGCACACAAGAAAGTGTCGACCCGGGTCGCACGCTGAATTTCGTCGACGCGAAATTTGGAGCCTTGAATTTTGCCGAGCGAATTCCATTGACTGAAATTCCATAGACGAGAATTTCCGCGACAAGAATTCCGTCGACCACCGACTGTAACTCCCGTGCGAATTTCGTTGACTTCGACACTTCGCTGCCGAGTTTCAAACCGAACGCGACCCGAGATCGATTTCGCCAAACTGTCCCCAATCTGTCCCCAAACTGTCCCCAATCTGTCCTGACAAGACACATTCGGGACACTTGAATCAAAAGGTCTTCAGTTCGAAACTCGCGTGCACCATAACCAGTGCCTTGGCAGAAACTGTCCTGAATCTGTCCTGAGACACTTTCAGGACATATTTGAAGGTCACGAGTTCGAATCCCAGCGCAGACATTTTGTTGCTCATGGCAGCATTTCCTTCTAACACGCCCCCTTGCTGTCAGGAGCACACTGGACCAGCCCGGCTGCTGCACAGCATCGGTTGAAGGCTGCCTTGTCGAGCCGCTTCGTTAAGAAGTCCGCGGGCTGCGCCGTCGTAGGGATGTGCTGCAGCTCTTACTTCTTCGTGCGCACCATGTCCTGTAGCCACATGTGGCGACAGTCCACATGCTTCATGCGCCCCTACAGCCTGCCCGTCTGGCTGAGCTGCACCGCTGACATGTTGTCGACATACAGGGTGGTGGGGACACCCTTCTTGAGCAGATGAAACTCCCACAGCAAGAACCTTAGCTTGCGCCCCTCCTTTCCTGCTTCCACCACAGCCACAAGCTCGCTCTCGGTGGAGGAAAGTTTGATCGCACCCTGCAGCTTCTTGGCCTGCCATGAAATGGCAGCTCCGCCAAGCTTGAAGAGGTAGCCTCCCGAGGACGATCGGTTCTCCTTGTCGCCCGCATGATCTGCATCCGCGTACCCCACGATAGTCAAACTCTCTGGTCCTCCCTTGAACAGCAGCCCCATGTCCGGTGAGGCAGGCCAGTAGGAGAGTGTGCGGAATAGCTCATGCCAATGCGCATCCGTCCTGAGATGTGCACCTGCTGCAAGGTGGTCGGCCATGGTGCGATCGGCAAACAGCTCAGCATCCTCCATGACAAAGCTGGTAGAGGAGAGAGGGGTGATCGTCTGCTTCTTCGGTGGCGCCCCCTTGAAGAACCGCTGCTGCACCTTCGCCACGTATGCATTCTGGTGTAGGAGGAGTGTCTTGTTGGGGTGGTCGCGCACAATCTGCAGACTAAGATAGCCTTTCGTAGATGACATGTATTCCACCACGAGGAGACCTTTGTCCACCACCTTGCCTTCAGGTCCGGTTAAGGTTACTCCGAGGTTGATGATGATGCTCCTCAATCCCCCTTCCTCCTCATCAGCCTCATCCAAGTACTCCACATCATAGTAGATGTCCGTGCCATAGGCACCTCCAGCAAGGAATGCAATGCCGTACATGTCGTTGCCGTCAACCGCATCCGAGGCCGTCATGGTGGATGCGGGAAGCCGAACAGGTGGCATACCCTTGTTGGACCTGCTAGAACGACATGGGGGTGGGGGAGTGGGCTAGAGGGGCGGAACCGTGGGTATGGGGTCCTTCCCATGGGTTGCCGCCGATTTCAGGTCCGCTGCCTCTCCTTCCTTGTCTTCATTAGCTGCACGACGTTCATCCGCAGAGGGACCAACCTCTGGTCCCACAGGTGCCAAGCCAGCAGCTAAGGATGGGCAGAGAGCTGGCGGTGCCATGGTTGCATTGCTGCCCACAGGGTCAACCAAACGATCAAACGATTGTTCGCCCCCTTGCATGGACGGCACTGGGATTATGATGACAGTACGTGACGGCGGCTGATTCTGCTCAGGGCCATGGACCATCCCAAGAACCTCCCCCTCTCGCACGTCAGGCAGCGGAAGCGTTTGACGAGTGAGTTTGGCTTCTTGGGAGGAGGCGCTCAACGTGTCCTCCCCTCCTTTCTCTACGTCCATGCCTAGCATGCCACTGTCTGTGGCTGTCCACTGCACCGCACCAGCATGGTCATTCTCAAGGTGAGTGTGTCGCAGGTTGAGCATCGCCTCGGTCCCCACCGCATATGTTGTGAGGCTGGCCGCTTCGTCATTCTCTTCCGGCGGGCTTGACACCACCTCAGCAAATGTCTTAGGCATACCATTGCCTGCCACCTCAGCCGCCGTGCCATTGCATGCCGCTGTAGCTGCTGTATTGTTGCATATTGCTGCAACCACCGTGCCTTTGCATGCCGCCGCAGCCGCCCTGCCGTTGCATGCCGCCGCAGCCGCCCTGCCGTTGCATGCCGCTGCAGCCGCCGTGCCGTTGCATGCCGCTGCAGCCCCTGTGCCGTTGCTCGCCGCTCCACCCGCCAAATTGGTGCATGCCGCTGCAGCCGCCGTGCCGTTGCATGCTGCTGCAGCCCCTGTGCCGTTGCTCGCCGCTCCACCCGCCATATTGGTGCATGCCGCTTCAGCCGCCGTGCCGTTGCATGCCGTTGCAGCCGTTGCACCGTTCCTTGCTGGCCCCGGTTTCAGGTCAAGGTAGTGAAGGCGATGGCGGTATCGTGCCGTTGCAGCCACTTGACCTCCTGATGCGATGATGCGAGTGACACCTTCCTCGGTTTGCAGCTTTGCTCCCTTATCCAAGAGCTGCCCAGGGGAGACCAAGTTGGCCTTCATTCCTGGCACAAAGAGGACATCATGTAGGGTCACATGCAAGCCGTTAGTGCCCTCCAGCAAAACCTCACCAACACCGGCAACTTTCTGCATAGAACCATCAAACCCTTTGACCGATTTCGTTGCAGATGGGTCACGGATCACCGTGAACCACTCCTTGCGGTCGGTCATGTGTTGGGAGCATCCTGAGTCAAGAAACCACAAGTCCTTGTCGTCGGCCAGCAACTTTGCAGCCAAACACGCGACAGTGAGCGACACGCCCTTCCCGTCTCCTTCAGCTACGTTCGCGGCTGCCGCGGGCGTTGTATCTTTCTTCTTGTTGGGGCACTTGGCAGCCATGTGCCCCTCCTCATTGCAGTTGTAGCAGCGCCCCTTCAAGGGGGCTCGCTTCTTCTCCCACTTGCCGTCCTTCTTCTTGTCCGTCTGCTCCCGTCCCCCTTTTCCTTCCTTCCCGTTGACCCCCGTTGTAGCCACGATGGTGTTGACAGCGCCCGCGAAAGCAGATGCATCGCTGGTGATCTGCTTGTAACTCTCTTCGATGGATAGAGTCTGCTCCTCGATCAACACCTCGCTGCACACGCGTTCCACCATCATGTCAGGGCTGGAAATATCGAGCTTGCGGCGAAGAAATCCGTACTCCAGTGGTAGGCCCTTTAGCACGTGGGCGGCAAACGTGGCCATGTGGACCTCCTGTCCAATGGTCAGCAGCTCCGCTCGGATGGTGCGGCCCTATTGCAGTAGGATTCCGCCGTCTCATCATCTCCCTTCCTGAGTTGGGCTAACTGGGTCTGAAGTAGGGAAGCGTGGAGGGCATCACAAACTTGATAAGTAGACAAGATATATGCCCATGCTAGCTGCTCGGCTTTCTCTTGCTGAGAGAAACCAGAGATGGACATTCGAATGGGTGGAGAAACACATCGGTTCAGCACCATGAATGCAAGCATTTGGCCCTTTGCGTACTCCTCTCGTTGCAAGGGGTTGTTTGGGGCCGGGCTTGGTGCTGTCCCGTTGCAAAACTGCCACAAATCAGCACACTGGAGCTGAGGTCGGATGGCGCTGACCCACGCGGTAAGGTCGTGCCTTCCCTCCAGCAGCGGCGTCACAGAGAACTTGAATTGACCGTAGCTCGCCCCGATCATTCCCGTGTCAATGGTCGGTGCAACAGCTCCTCCGCCAATGCCCACGGCAGTTGGAGCTTCGTGCACAGCTCCTCCTACACCAGTTCCTCCTTGCTGGCCGCTCGCAGGTGCTTGCTCCGCCGCGCGCTCCCGAACCATGCGTAGTTGACGACCGTCCACAATGAGGTCGACCTCATCATCACGCAAGTCAGGGTGGTGCTCACGAACGGACGCCTCCAGCTCCTGACGGGTATTCAGGCCCTCAGCGCTCGTTAACCACTCCATGCGCGGTCAAAACGAGCGTCGGCCACACCAACGTAGGAACGAAGTGACGGGAGGACGGAATCAAGCCGCTAGTTGGATCGACGCAGATAACGCAGCTCTGATACCATGTAAAATTTCACTACTATAGCAGCTTGATAGATCTTGAAAGCACGATTCCAACGCACCAAAGATTGCATGAAATGGTCCACTATAGCCAGAGTTACACACAAACATAGCAGTGATAATGACTTGGTTAATTTCTGGTTTGTGCTCTCTGGTTTTATACTAGGACGCAATACAAAATAAAAGCACACAAGAAAGTGTCGACCCGGGTCGCACGTTGAATTTCGTCGACGCGAAATTCGGAGCCTTGAATTTCGCCGAGCGGATTCCATTGACTCGAACTCCGTAGACGAGAATTTCCGCGACAAGAATTCCGTCGACCACCGACTGTAACTCCCGTGCGAATTTCGTTGACTTCGACACTTCGCTGCCGAGTTTCAAACCGGACGCGACCCGAGATCGATTTCGCCAAACTGTCCCCAATCTGTCCCCAAACTGTCCCCAATCTGTCCTGACAAGACACTTTCGTGACACTTGAATCAAAAGGTCTTCAGTTCGAAACTCGCGTGCACCATAACCAGCGCCTTAGCAGAAACTGTCCTGAATCTGTCCTGAGACACTTTCAGGACAGATTTGAGGTCACGAGTTCGAATCCCAGCGCAGACATTTTGTTGCTCATGGCAGCATTTCCTTCTAACAGAGCGGGGGTCAGGAAGAGGGGGGGAGGAGGAACCGGGAGACCTCGACAGGGGTACCTGACGTAGTAGGGGACGGACTCCTCGAAACGGACGTAACGGGAGTCGAAGAACCGGTGAGAGGGAGGGTAGTAAAAGGTGAAGTCAGAGGACTCCTCAGGGAAACCGAAGAAGACACAGGGAACGGCGCAAGGCGAGAGCTTGTTCGCGGAGGTGTCGCGAACAAGAGCCAAGCAACCCCAGACACGAAACCGCGACGCAACACCAGGGGACCCAGTCCAAAGACCGGTCGGTGAAACCTCTGGCCGAGAGACACGCGGCCAGAGGTTCAGCTGGTGAGCGGCGTACCGAACCGCGTAGGGCCACAGAAAATGGGGGGCACGGGCGTGAGTCAATGAGGTGCGGGCGATCTCCATGACCAAGCCTATGCGGTGCTCAGCAACCCCATTCTGCTGTGAGGACTCTGGAAGCGTCCAGGACTGACGAATGCCCTGCTCGCGACAGAATCCAGCAAGAAAGCCGGAGCGAAACTCACCCCCGCGGTTGGAGTGAAGACAGCTGACACGACGACCACGAGTGTCCTCTGTGGTAAGCAACCACCTGATCAGCGTAGAAGTCACCTATGACTTCTTTGCCATGGGGAACACTGTGGTGTAGCAGGTGTAGTCGTCAACGACCACCAGAAAGAAACGCTCACGCTCAGGGCCAAGGCGAGGGGCGGGGCCCCAGACGTCCAAGTGGAGTGTCTCGAACAACTGGGTGGCCGGACGAAGGAAGGAGGATTGAAGGGTGGCGCGCAGGCGACCCTCGACACAGGGACCGCACGGTGGTGCAAGGGACGCCGGGAGCGACGGCAAGACACGCGGGAGGCCTTAGACAAGACGCTGACGAGTCATAGCGCACAGACGAGTAAGGGACGGGTGCCCCATCCGGTGGTGCCACAGAACGGTGGGGTGGGCAAGCGACCGGCAGGAGCAAGACGCAGCAATTGGACCAGACGCGGGAACACGACCAGACACAGCTACCTGGGGGGACGCGGCAACCTGGTGAGACGCAGGGACCAGACGAGGGGAAGGGACAGGGGCCGGGGGCAGTAGCGGCCGCTGCGGCTGCTGCTGCTGCTGCTGCCGCCCACCGGGGCCAGTGTGAAGAGTGTAGAGACCGGAGCCCGGATCAGCAGTAAAGGTGGCAAGAGGCTGGAAAGAGGCCCCGTCAACACACACTGCGGTCTTGCCAGAGGGCTCAAACCACACACCCACGTGCTAACTCACGAGAGGCCTCATGCCCACCAAGTTCCTCGAGAACGAGGGGACGTGGAACCCGGTCAGAGACCCGGAGGGAACAGCTGGGCACGGAAGAGTGGTAGTGTAGCGAGTAGTGTAGTGGGATCAGCCAGCGCCACAGAGACTGGCGCAGGAAGAGGTGTGAGTGTCGTGCGGTCGCGGAAGAAACAGTGCGAAGCTCCAGAGTCTAGAGTGAAAGACAGCGAAGCGTCCCCCGGAGCAGCTCTTGGACTAGTGTCTACACAAGTACCTACACTAGCAACATGCATCTCAACAAGACTAGCACCTAAGCTAACACTCGAGTAAACAGAGTCAGAAGCACTAGAGTCAACAACAGCATACATAGCATAAGGATCTCCTAAGAGATCAACTAATTGAGAAGCTGACATGCCCCACAGAGCAGAGCCGTACGTCTGAACAAGAGGAAACCAGTCAAGGGCAGGGCCACCAACGGCGAAGGCCAAACGGACCGTGTCAGTAAGCTAAGCAAAGCACTGACCAAGAGGGTGGGCACGGCCACAAGGCTGGCCCCGGCGAGCACCCGTCAGAACCTGATAGGTGCACGGAGGGTGAACAACACCTCGCTGGAGCTGACGCTGTCTTGACCCCGAAGCCTGCTGCTGCCGCTGCTGCTGCTGAGGCTGCGGCGAGGGGAGGGGCTGCTTCTGCTGCAGCTGCTGCTGTCGCTGAGTCAAGTACCACGCCGCTGCACCACCCACTGCAGTCGGCAGACTAGGGGGCGACTGACAAACCCGGGCAAGGCCACCACCAGCTCCAGCAGGGGAGTCACTGGCCACTGCACAAGACGCCTCACCAGACCCTGCACTCCCGCCACCACCGGTCGCCACGCCACCCCCACCACCTCCGCCGCCGCCGCCGCCTGCACCTGACCGCCCCTCTTGCCACCCCTACCCCGAGACAGCGAAGAAGTTGTAACAGCAGCTGCGGTCACGTCGGTAGCAGCAGTGGCGAGAGAGGCAGCAAAGGTGGGCAGCTGAGGGACAGTGCACCCGTGGAACAGTGGAGGGGGCACAGTACCAGAGGCGGAGGCTATGGAGCGAAGGTTGCTCTCGACGTCCTTGGGTGCTGACTCAAGGACCTCAATAGTGAGCTCGCTAGGGTGCTTCAGAAGAAGCGTGTCACGAACCGAGGCAAGGCGGTCAGGGGGGCTAGTGGCGATGAAATAGATAGTGATCGCCATGGGGGGAGGAAGCAGTGCAAGCTGTGCCTCAGTGCAAGCAGCGCAGTAGCTAGAATCGAGCGAGCGGAGGTGAGCAATCAAGTTAGCAGAGCGCTCAAATGAGGCGAGGTCAGGAAACAGTTACGGAAGGAACAGGCGACCTAGAGAGACAGTGGTGGGAGTAGCGTAGCGGGCCTTGATCGCAGTCAGGAACTCACTAGCCGTGCGAACCTGAGTGAAGTGGGTCTCCTCAGACTCAGGGAGGAGGCTGCTGAGGGCGATGCAGGCCGCAGCGTCACGCGAGGTCCGCGCTTTGAGGTCAGCACGCTGGCGGGCATATCGGTCTCTGTCGGCAGAGCTAGCATCAGCGCCTAAGGGTACAGGATCAAGGGGCCTAGGGATGTCACCAGAAGCGTGCTCCCATAAGGACTCGCTTGCCTGCACCTGACTCGCTAGGAGACGCTGCGCACGCTGAAGCCAGACGGAGAACTCGAGGGGCCTACCCTCGGCGTCAAAGCGAAGGACCCTGGGGGTCGCCACAGTGGAAGCTGAAGCTACGAGGCCGGCAAGGCGCAGCGGTAGGCGCGGCAGGAAACTCAGCGGCAGTCGTGGGCTTGGCGACAAGCACGGCGAGGAGACAGGCGGGCGGGCGGGTAGGACTGGCGTGTGGGCGGGCGGGTGGAGAGGCGCGCAAGCGTGCGCAAAAGGCAGGCGCGGCGGACGGCTAGGGCGGGGCTCGTGGCGGGCCTAACTGGCAGGCTCGGCGGGCGGCTAGGGCGGGGTCCGCGGCTGGCCGAACGGGCAGGTACGGCGGGCGGCTAGGGCGGGCCCGCGACGGGCGCGAAAGGCAGGCGCTGCGGACGGCTAGGGCAGGCCCGCGACGGGCGCAAAAGGCAGGGCCCTCGACGGACCTAACGAACAGGCGCGGCGGCAGCCTAACGGGCAGGCGCGGTGGCGGCCTAGCGGGAAGACGCGGCGGCGCGAAGACAGGGCCCGCGGTGGGCGTAACGGGCAGGCGCGGCGGCGCGAAGGCAAGGCCCGCGGCGGGCCTAACGGGCAGGCGCGGCGGCAGCCTAACGGGCAGGCGCAGCGACGACATAACGGGCAGGCGCGGCGGCGCGAAGACAGGGCCCGCGGTGGGAAGATCGGGCAGGCGCGGCGGCGCAAAGGCAGGGCCCGCGGTGGGCCTAACGGGCAGGCGCGGCGGCAGCCTAACGGGTAGGCGTGACGGCGACCTAACGGGCAGGCGCGGCGGCGCGAAGACAGTGCCCGCGGTGGGCGGAACGGGCAGGCGCGGCGGCGCGAAGGCAGGGCCCGCGGAGGGCCTAACGGGGCAGGCACGGCGGCGGCTTAACGGGCACGCGAGACCGGTCGCGAACGAGCGGGACACGGAATGGGAGAGTGTCGACAGCTACGGCAGGGCTACGCGACAGAACGGGTGAGGCGCGTCAGGCTCGGGCGGGAGGAACGGGATCCTACATGATCCTAACCTAGGTGATACAATGTCAAGAATGAAAGTGTTGGTTCATTGATGTGGGTTGGGGTACACATAGCAAACCCTAACATTTGTACCCCCTAAGACAAGCCTCCCTACAGGCTACAACATTTGACACTTTCTATCTACCCAAACATCCGTTGCTCCTAGATGTTTGGAGATCTCTTTCGCCCTCTCTAAATCCTCCTCTTTTTTAGCATAGACAGCTCCCCAGCCTTGCTGCTGGTTATTACTAGGATAAAGGAATTACGTGTTTCTTACGTACGCCTTTGTGTTGTTGGTTTGTGTAGACCATATTTCTAACT